AAATTTTATTATTAGATCATCTGCAATATTTTTCAGATAATTTTTGTCTTCCACGTGTGTTGTTCTAAAGCAGAAAACTTTAACGCCTCGAGTAGAAGCCCAAAGAAGATAATTTTCTGCATAAAAGAACAAACAAAAAAAGCAACAACAAAAAAAAATTCTCGTTGGTGATTTTTAAGGCTGTTAAATATTTAGATAAAACAAAAAGCAATAACAGATTTTTTAGACATAACAACGTTGTAGACCGTAGAGATGTCTCAAGTGAGAATATTTGCTCTTTTCAAAGCAATCAGAACTCGCTAAAATTTTTGTCGACAGAAGAATCATCTTACTAAACAGGGGAGCTTGTCAAGATGAAAACAATGTGTAGCAAAGACCCGAAGACCTTAGACCAAGAAGTTATCGTAAAATAACAGTCCATTTTCTTACAAAATAATTAAAGCGCCAGAGGTATTTTAAAGCACTTTTGCGGCGGCGCGCTCATAACTACAAAGACAAATTTTCTTCACAACATGAAGATTTTGGACAATGAAGAAACTTTCAACCACCAGAATGACTACGCATGTGCAAGGAATGCCCAAGACAAAAATGCTTGAAATTGCTCATCATCCAAATTTCATGATGGTTTTGTGGTGAACAAAGGCCCGTTGGCCGAAAGGTAGTGTTTCGCACTTCCGCACCACAGATATAAGGGTCTATCCTTGAGCTGGTCATGGTCGACTCAGCCTTTCATCCCTACTGCAGTGGGTTGAAAAATGAGTACCAAGCATGATTGGGGACTTAAACACTATAGGTCTCACTTGAGACTGACCACCTGATCGGTACATCTGCTCATGCATCTAAGCTCCCAATAGTTACGTATACTGGAAGGGACACAATAGGCCCTGGCCCTCATGGGCTGTTACGCCATTGAGTTTGAGTTTGTTTGATTTTGCAAGCTCGTCACTAATTTTATTTGGAGAGAGTTGTATGTGTAACGTTATATCAAATATTCATACGGATGGGAAATGAACCTCACTGGGAAAAACTTATAAGGCGGTGGTATTTGCAAACAGTTGTAAAATAATAAAAATGAACTAAAATATAATAACTAGCAGATTTCTGAAAACTATCCATTCGTACAAGAATCCCATATTTCGAAATCTTCCTGCAGAATACATGTATCCTCTACATCAAGGGTGGCGAACCTTTATGGATCAACGTGCCATTTTTTCTAAAGAAGTGTATAAAGAGGTATAGACGTGCCGTTAAATAATTTTGACGTGATTATTGGAAAAATAATAAAAATTAAATACTAACAAGTATTTATTTACTACGAAAAAATACTTTTTGTACTGTACAGTTGTAAATGTTTTAGTTATACTCGTAATTAAAATTAAACTAACATTAGTGTGACTTCTGTTGCTGCAGCATGTGGATGACAAACAACTTATATTAGGATTGTAAGATGTTACTTTTAGTAGAATGCATGCTCAATTCGAGTTATCTGCCAAATGGTTTCTAAGCAAACAATTATTTTTGCTGTGGTTCACTATTTTGGAAAAAGGATTTGTGATTTGTTTCAGAATGCCGTTTTACATATGATGTTCGCATATCACTGTTCCAAAACATGAAACACACACCGCTTTGCCGTCTTTACTAATGCCGTATTTCTAAATTCACCAAAGTTCAAATTCTGTGATACACTTAGTATGTTGCAACTTTTGCTCTTTTGCTAACTAGCCATATCAAATAAGTTAAAAATCGCAAATATAACAAAAATAAACTTTAAAGTACAGCTTTGTCAACGAAATTGACTATGCTAAGCGTAGAGAAATTTTGAATCATAAGCAACTGTTGTCCACAACGTAACTAAGGCAAGACAATAACAAACGACGGCGCTCATGATGAATCGCGTTTGTTCGTAATACTTCATAGTGAGCTTTGTTAATTTAAATAAAATGCAAACCATTTTGATCTCAGGCGTGCCCAAAATATTGTGTCGCGTGCCATTGTTGACACACTTGCCACTGGTTCGTCATTCCTGTTTTATAATGAAGTCAAATGAATAAAAGATCAGAATGCGTCAATTTAGGGAATCATTTATAATATATTTGTTTGATGGCGACGGCTGTAATGACAGAGAAAGCAGCAACTATAATACAAATACAACTAGTTTTTTTACTTAGAACATCTGTGACATCTCTCGCGTTCTTCTTCTAACATAACTCCTACGTTCTTTGACGGCCACGATTAATGGCAAAATTTTTCCAACCCAAATCCAAGAAGTAAAAACGAAGCAAAAATGCAAATAAGATAACCTTTAAAAGGATAGAAAGTTTAATGAGCAAGGATGGCAATTTAGAGAAAGCTTAGTTCGGAAAAGGTAGAAGTGTAATTAGACGGCCTACCCAGGAATCACGGAGACGCCCACCCTCGCTATCCTTACAAGGTGCAAACTATTGCACACGAGCTCATCAGTCTACCTGAAAGTAACTGTATCGTTGAGTCTTCAACCAAGGTAGGATGATTATATTCTGAACGCTAGTAAATTATTGAATCGAGATTAGGTGGATCTAATTAGTTATATTGATAAGTGATCTAATTGCGCTATCTGAGTTAATTAAATCGGCGTACTTTGGTTTATTCTCACTTAATATAAGTTTGTTCAATATCTAAGTAATTTAAGTTAAATTCTTAATAAAAGTCATATTAAGAATTATAGAATGTCTCATATCCTTCCGAGATAATCCCACACATCTAACTTACGCGGAAACCCCAGACATAGCTATCGACAGATGGTCATGTCGCACATCTTCCTCCCACAGAAAAAAAAGGATGCTTTCAAAGCCATGCCAAATGTTCACAAAAAACACGTAAGGATATTAGGTTTTTTTTCCAATGTGTCTCAAAAATCCAACATTCTACTTTGATTCTAGCTATAAAGCTCATCATTCACAGCAACAGCAATAAAAAAAATTTTTTTTTTAGTTTTAGTAATACATTCATATATATATATATATATATATATATATATATATATATATATATATATATATATATATTGTTATAATCTAATCGTCTAAGATAATTCTAATAATAAAAATTGACACTTAATATGTTTTTTGCACTATATAAATTTTCAAATAACTCAATTGGAGTTTGTAATTCATCTAAAATTTCAGCAAATACTACGAGATATATTGTAGCCGGCAGTTTTGGGAAACTCACGTTTTTCGAGAAATCTCGTAGTTGGCAGTGAAAGACTAAAAATATTACAGAAGTTCTCAATAGTTGCAATTTGAATTTGCACGTAATCATGTTTAAGCGCATGAATGTATATGACAAACGACATTATTGAAAATTCATTTAAAATTAAAGTAAATTTAAAATAGTAAAAAAAGAATTAGAAGTAAATGTACATATTAGTTTTATACTAAAACTCGTTTAAAACCAGGAACATTCCATTGAGGCTTGTGCTTCTCATTTCTATAAAAGGAAAACAATATGATTACAGTATCGTTTGTGACATGTATTCTAGTTAAAAATCTCTAGCACATAATAAAAGCACGTTGCCATATAATGATACAAATGAAACGTAGAGAACATTTATTTCTTATTTTGGAGCTACATACTTTACAAAAATCTGTTGTTTAATCCGTAGAAAAGCATACTTAATAAGGAGCTTCTAAATAAATTTTTCAACTTCAAACAGTTACACATGCGATACACCTTGCAATTTGCAATATTAAAATTTTAAAAGCATTCACATATTTTACTTCAGCTTTTAAAAATGCCATGATGTTATTGAAAAAATGCGCTATTTTTAAAATCTAGCAATAAATTTGAATTCACACAGAAACCGAATATTGATGCCTTTTTAAGTTCCAAACATATGTAATTTGTCTGAATATACTGGTTTTTACGAAAATCATGGACATGTTAAAATATAGAACATTTCCCAATGAACAGATCAAATTATTTTAAAAATCTCATGTTCTAAAGAGTTTTTTTTTAACTAATCACTTGTAAATACTAATAAAGCCTAGCGTTAAATAGCCTTAATAAAGTCTTGATAGTGTCAGTTCATAATTCTCAAACTAAAATTGAAATAGCAAAATCAAACTTAAGAAATTGAAAATTTGTTTTTAAATGAAATTCAAATAATTATGATTTCATAGTAGCAAATTCTCTCTTATTATTAATTAACACATAAACATTTATAATTGAATGGATACAATTCATATGAAATTCAAATGCTGAAATGTGACTTCTTGAATGCCCCTTCAGAATATCACCTTATTCTTATTTTCACCTATAGATATTTAACATATTAGATTATATATTGAAGGAAAGATGGTATTATTGAAATATGTCCAGATTCTAGAAGAAAATTTGGTTTTTGTTGAACAAATGTTTAATGTGTGTGTTGTCTGTATGTATATTGTAAAGTGTGTAATGTTGACCTTGTATAATGTTGTTTTGCAAAACAAAGATCTTTAAGAATGACAAACTAAATTTTCAAAATCGCAACGAAAGTCATAACGTACAAATTTACTCAGTAATAAACAAAACAAAAACGCGTGTGTGTGAATTAGTACGCACGCAAGAAGTATATTTCCAACCTTCAGTCAACTGACCAGCCAAACCTGAGATAATCACAAATTTAAATAAATTTCCGAAACACCCCGCACAGGACAATTGAAATCAATAATATGGGAGGGGTCGAAAGAGTGGGAATGATCCGTCCGTTCTGCATACTTCTAGACAAAGTTATTTTCATATCCGTTCCTACGAACGCAAAGCAAAGCTAGCCAGACACAAGTAGTGTATGGTTACTCAGTCTGCAGATCGGGAGGTCCCCTGCCTCAAACCCTAGTTCCCCATTTTCAGGGAAGTGAAGAGAAATAAATTTTTATGGGAGAAATTTGAATACAGGTAATGCATCCTGCCTGCCTGTATATTTCTAGACAAAGTATTGCAGTTCCCAGAACGCAAAAGCAATGTAGTTAGTTGACACGGGGTGTATAGCCCAGTGGTAGAGCGTTCAGCTGCAAATCGAGAGGTCTCCGCCCAAACTCCGGGTGCGCTCTTCTGGAAAGTTCAGAGAATTACTTTTCCTAGAATTTCGGCTATGGAAATGATTTGTCCCCTTCTGTATATTTCTAGACAAAGGATTTTCGCACCCGTGACGTTATCAAAAATTCCTCACCCTCATCCTTGTTCCCACCGCCCCAGCAAAGAAGTATAACTTCAAAATATTTAATGATTGCGCAGGAAATATAAAGCAAGCTTTGAGGAGAGATTCAATCAATTTAAAAGTAAGAAAAATACATTTCAATTTTATTTTATATCCATACAAAAGAGAATTTGAAATAATGAGTATTCATAAGGCAAGCAAGAATTTATGTGGCTAGGTATTGATAATTTAGAAATTGAATTAATAGAATTTCGAAGCAGCGTAGTGTGGAAAACAAAATTTGAAGACTTGATTTCTGGAGTTGAAGAAAAACTGTGTGAAAGTAATGCAGATAATATTGATCCCATAATAAAAATTGAAAATACTATATTAAACTCATAGGATTCTTTACCGAATAATTTCATATCAATGAAACAACTAGTTAATGTTTTTTTAACGATTTTCGGTTTCACATATCCGTGTGAAAAATTGTTTATTCTATGAATTTTGTAAAATATTCTAATAGAAATAGACTTAACAGGGAACTGCGAATTGCGTTAAACTAATGAATACGAAATATAAACCTAATATTAAAAAAACTACCTGAAAATAAACAGCAACAGATTTCTCATTAAGTACTTTATAATCAATTTTGTTATACGAATATATATATTAATAAATATAGATTTCATAATTTATATTGTATGTAATTTTCTTTACTCCTCGTTCATTCAAACACTTCTTGCTATTTGAACCAAAACATTTTTAACCCCAATAAAAAATTTTAATCGTCAAACCACGGTCATTTTTATTCGTTAAGCCAACCGAATTTTAAATATTTAGCTTTAAAAATAATCAGTTGAAGTTTTTTAAACTTAACTCTGGTGCAAAGATGTGTTAGTAACCCTCGAGATAGTACTAAAAAAAGAATTACACACAATATTTGACCCACGTTTCAAAAAGGTTTGCCATCCCTGTTCTAGACAAAGAATTTTCGAATCCGTTCCTACAGATAGCAAAGGTTCGCTGACACGGGGGTATAACTCAGTGGTAGAGCATTCAACTGCAGATCGAGAGGTCCCGGTTCAAACCCGGGTGTCCTCTTCTTCAGGGTAGTGAAGATAAATATTTTTTTGAGAATTTCGAAGGCGGCAATAATCTGTAAAGTTCTGTATATTTCTAGACAAACATCTTCGCATCCGTGACGTTGTGCGTCGCATCCGTGACGGTGTGCGCACGCATCGTAAAAATTCACCCTAATCCTATTTCTCTAACGCCCCAAAAGAAGTATAACTTCAAAAAAAGACAGATTTTTTTTCACGATCAGTACTTAATGCATACTTTTTTTATCTACTTAAGTCGTCTACATTATCTTTTACTGAATTTTGACTTATTTCCAATAATTCGTCCTCACATTTCTTCAAGCGTAAAAACTTTTCTCGATCTTGCTTTTAAAATTATGTACTAAATCATTGGAAGCATCTTAAAATGATGGATGAAATCTTTATTTCACTCGTATGATATAGAACACTGAATGACTTCAATTTGTCTTACCTTTTCAGTGGGTCTAGTCGTGGTGACATCCCTCATCTATTTCTTTTGGGAATTTTTTAAGATATCTTTACATTTTCTAATTAAAAAAAAAAAAGAATTTATGGGTTTTTTGAAAGTTTTATCTTTTTCCTATCGTGCTTTGAGTTTTATATAAGACATTTTGAGTTTTATTTTTTTGATAACAATAATAAAAATATTCTTCAGATCCTAAATAATGTTTGATGTTTTTCATTGAGGTATTGAAACAATAAAAATAATATTGATTAATTTACTTGTCCTGCGAGGTAATTAACTGTGGCTTATCCTGCTTTACCTCTGCATTGTTTTGGATGTTACGTTTTTAGAATGCGATTTACAACTCAGGGAAAAGGAGAAACTGATGGGGTTAGGTTTTTAATTTGGAGAGAGATACCATTCTTTTAATTTTATCTTCTACAGTCTACGAGTAAATACTTTTGCAACAAAACAATGAGGAAGAGGATGTGAGAAGCTTCTGATAGTCAAAAAGACTGGAGTATTTTGAGCAAAATCCAAGGGTAGAAGTATGTCTTTGACCCTTTGACTGCAGACTTAAGCTGAGCATAATGGAATTCAGTATTCAAATGAAAGATCTAAACGAAATTTAATATGGTGTATTCCCACAACCACCAAAGATACATAGGAACATCTTTTGGCTCTCTCATGGAAATTCAATAAGACCGTGGAGCCTAGACCATTTCGACTTGACTAACTAGTGGCCACCTAAAATGACTTTCCTATGATATTAACAAAAAATCCTCCCCACTTGTAAGAAATGCTGTGACCATCCCGCTTCCCCAGATCATATTCTGAAATGCATCGAATTTTCTAAGGGGGACTTAACATCCGATCTCCTTATTATTATAATTTTTTTGGTGGTCAACTGGAGCTGATCTGGCATATGCCAGATCTTCAAGGATAAGAAATAACAGCCTTCTGTTACTGTACATGCAACTCTCGTGACTAACTGTTGGACAAGACTTGATCTCATTACCATACACGGTATGTAGGTGTTTGTGGATGACAGACACATTAGTCCCGTGGGCCTATTGATAACATGTGACAGCAAGACTTTCATTGATGGTCACTTTTTCATTACATGTCGAGATACCATCGAGACCTGTTCTGAAATTTCTTGGGCATTGGTATGGTGCTGCTGCTGTCTCTTCTTCAATAACTGCGCATGTGTCCTTCCTTCTCCGCTGACAGTCCATCCAAATCATTGTACCAGAAATGGATGTGGTTTCTAATGATGAATGATTTTTTTTCACCTGGTGTTCCTTCTTCCCTTTAAATGAAGATGATGAAGCTTTCTTTCTAATGTCTGTCGTATATATAAACCATTTTCAATTAAATTGTAGGAATACAGTTCTATTTTGTTCGTTCCTATAATCCTAATTATTGCAATTGTAGAGTGAATTTAAAACGAAATAAATTTTAATTTTAATAATAAGTGAAGCAGGTTATTTTGATTAATTCAGTAAATTCTGAAGCTACAGCTGAATGTCTCACAAAATTACAATATCCTGAGGAAATAGCTATCTCAATATTTAATTGATTTCATTAAAAAATCCAGAATATAAATTTGAGACAAACGTATTTAGTGCAATGTGGTCATTTTCAAATCGAATTTATATGTCTAGACGGAAAAATGTTATGAAAGAGACACAGATAAAATAATTTCAGAACATTCTCAGAGAAATTTAAAAGTTCAAGCATTTTTACAACACATTTATAAACATATACTACTTAATATTCAAGTTAAGCAACTTCGTTTTACTTGAAAATATATGTAATTAGATTAGAACACTCTAATTAAACCATTAGAAATAAATTTTTATGAGAGAATTAAAACTTAGGTACAGAGTTAGGGTTTAAAAGTGATGGGATTAAAAGCATAAAGATAAATAGTTCCAAAAGTTATAAGAAGTGTAGTGACATATCTTATAATTCTCAAATACTATTATATTTAATAACATTATAATAACTTTATGAAAAGGATGTTTATATACAAGAAAGCCAATTTGATTACTGAAAATCAGGCACTCAGTATAATTTCTGATATTGACTATTCCAAAGTTATTTTTATCATACTTCTCTGACGTTAACAGTGAACATTTAAACACACAAAATGCGAAGTCTTAACTAAAAGCACTTAAAGATAAATTGATTGCCAAATTACTATCTACTGGATATTAATTTATAGATAAACTAAACGTGAAATAGCGAAGGATCTCTTCTACAGGTACAAGACCATGTCACATATCAACTTTTTCTTACTTAAAAGTCAGCATGATGTTTAGTAAGAGAGCTGTTCATGAAATTGCAGTTTTAGTTCTTTATTATGGACAAATTTCTCACATATAAATCTCTCTTAAAAGAGCATTCATTTTTAGATAATAAATAGAAATCAAAAGTATGTATCATATTTGTCAAGGTTTTTTTGTAAATGTGAAAATGTAAAATAGAATAAAACTGCGAAATAAAGGATATTTTTTATAAAAAAATGCACACTTTTTGAATTTTCTTGAGTGAACAATAAGTATTCTCAACATACAAGATATAAATCCTTTCCTGCTCATTTTTTTCCAAACTTTGCATTAGGGCAGCGATTGTCAAACCGTGGAACGTGCCCTACCTGGAGGCCGTGACAACCATACTTGTAGGGTGCGAGCTTGTCGAAAATAAGATTATTTTAAAAAATATATATTAATTTACTGAAAGGAAGCAAACTAATATACACACAGAAATTATTAAAAATACGCATTTACCCTGATATAATACACTTATAAATGTAGACAGGAAAAGTAACGTAATGCTTAAGTAATTTACTTAAAATGTCTATTACTTAAGAGTAACATAGCACAAAATTTAATACGTATCTTGATAGTTTGTACGGTTTACTATTAGTTATATTGTAGCTTTATCATCAAAGAACAATATTATTTCATGTTCAATATATTTTTAATATTTGGTGGGGGAGGTGATGAAAAAATGATAGGAAATTGGTTCACAAAAATTGAAAGTTTGAGGAGCACTGCATTAAGGAAAACAATCTTACGACAGTCGGCTGTTTAAAAAAAATTAAATACGTCACGCGAGTGCGAAATATTTATGTTTTGAAAAAGGTACTTGTCAATTTTTACTTAGCTTTTAAAAATGTTTAAGCAGATGCATTATATTTACTTGAATTATATCATTATGCTATAAAAATAAAATATTATACTTTAAATATCAATGAATAATAAGCTATCTATCTAAATTATTAATATGAAAATGTTTACGAAATTCTAAGCAAAAGTGATAAAATCATGCCCTTTATAAAATATAATTGAGACGACT